TGACAAAAATTGCATAAGATGCAATTATTGTGAAAAAGATACAAAATGGGGCATAAACTGATTTAAGAAACATCTTGCCGGTACTAAGGGAAATGTTGCCCCTTGTAACAACGTTCCTGATGCTATCACAGAGGAGATTAACCAATATATGAGTTCAGTAAAACACAAACAGGAACAAAATCTTTTTCATTAGAATAGGCCTATTTTTTATTCTGCTAGAAGAAGTGATCTGGGTTGGAAGTATGGCCATAACCTGAAACCAAACGATAAAAATTGTATAAGGTGTAATTTTTGTGAAAAAGATATCAATAGGGGTATTAACAGATTCAAGAAGCACCTTGCCAGTATTAAAGGGAATGTTGTTTCTTGTAAAAAGGTTCCTAAAGCTATTTGGGATAAGATTAGACAATATCTAAATTTAGTAGAACCAGAAAAAGATGAAAATGAGCCTTGTTCTATGGAAATATCTTCTCTAGGTTCTTCTAGAAGTGGTGATCCGGGTAGGAAGTATGGTCATAACCCGAATCCGAATGACAAAAATCGTATTAAATGTAATTATTATGGAAAAGATACCAATAGGGGTATTTACCGGTTCAAAAAATACCTTGTCGGTATTAAGGGGGATGTTGCCCCGTGTAAAATGTTTCTGAGGCTACCAGGGAGGAGATTATACAATATTTGAGTTCAGAGAAGTACAAAAAGATAGAAAAGGGTAGAGCAGCCAAGCCTCCTAAGGCCTCATCTACACAAAGTAAGAGAGGTAGAAGAAGAGGCAGATTCAGAAGAAACAAAGGAGGACGAGGGTTATGTTGAAGAAGGAGATGACTCTGAGTCTGATGATGATGGCCTCGAATCTAACGCATATGATGAGGCTTACCCTACTCCTTCTGATGATGATGATGATGACTGAATAATGAAGAGATGAAGACTCTTGACTCTTGGTGTTGAGTTTTGACTGTTGAGTGTTGACTATTGAGTCCTAGACTGTATATTTTCTGAATTTCTATATATTTTCTTTTTTTTATTTTTAGTTTCTAGTTTCTAATAGAAACTTTCTACTATCTAACTTTTGTGTGTATCAGTATATGCTTGTATGGTTTTAGCATTGTATGAAAATATGGATTATGGACTATCAAAATTCTCCTCATTCATGGAAATATCAAATATGAATTATGGATAGAATATCAAAATTCTAATATTTGTGATTAGAATATCAAAATTCTCCTAATTTAAGGTTAGAATATCAAAATTCTAATATTTTTCTTTCTACTGGGCAGCCCAGGTTCTGGGTGCCCACCTAGGCGCTGGGCGGCCTAGAACCCCACAGCCACCTAGGTGTTGCCTAGCGCTTTACTGAACTTGTAGATATTTAATCCTAATTTAATTAAAAGTGTTCTCCAAACAAGTTTTAGGGTCTTGTAATCGAAGATTGACGAGGGGCTGATCTTAGGTTACATCATAACATAATGTGAAAAGAGTACAATATTGTTTGTGGCTTGGAAGAAGGGTTCCTCTCCCTAGGTAGGCCCATCACTTATTAAACCCACCCTTTCCAACATCCCCATTTATCAGGTGTCCTCTTCCAGATGCCCCTTTTTATTTGCAACTACATCTAAAAACTCATCAAAAAGTTTGTCTAGGCAAGGACAACTGCGTACACAAATTTCATCCCTTCAACTAGAAAAGGAGGGAGGATTAGGTATGAGGACGCATCGAGATAGAATGGCTCTACTTAATGGTGGTGACCCACTACCACTCACCCAGACCACCTATGGACATCCCTCATACGCCATAGATACAATATAGACCCTACCAGGCAGTTCCCCAACAGAACTTCCTCTACCTTAGCCCGCAGGGTTTGGAAATGCATTGTCCAAGCCACCTCAAATTTGTAATGAACATCCATCTCAGAGTCAAAACGGGCGAGAAGCTAAGATTTTGGAAAGGAGTTTGGGTAGGTCGCACGAACTTGGCCCACCAATATGCTAGCCTACTAGCTATCACGACCAATAACGAACCCTAATAGCTGCTTTGAGGTTATTGGAAGGAACATTGTCTGGAACCCTTCATTTAGGAGAGCTCTTAAATAATGAAGCATAGGAACTTATGATCTTACTTCAAACACAACAAGTTTGTTCCTTCCCCTAGTGGACATAAATAGCCTAATCTGGTCCGCAACAAGCTTTGGCAAGTTCACGGTATCATTGTTCTATAAATCGCCAATTGCTCCCCAATCTGCCTCCTCCATTGCACACACGCCTGGCTCACCCGGGAAACTGAAGGTCCAAGCTTTTAAGTGGATTGCACCAACCAAAAGGGCCCTCACCTCAATATATCAAACAGCTCCAGCAAAGGGGATTCTAGATTGCCAATAGATGTGCCATTTGCAAAGAAGACGAGAAATCCAACAACCACCGTCTCCTGCATTGTCCTTTCACCTTCATAACTGTGGGCTGCCTTGCTCAAGACTTTAACTGATGTTGGTCACCCTGGAAACCACATAAAGCTCCTTTGAGATATACTTCCTGCCACTAAGCCCCTCCAGTCTATTTTAGCAGAGAGTTTCACTTAATATGTAGATTCTGGCAAGAAAGAAATAGTCAAATCTTTGATGGCAACGAGGCCTCCACCCACGCTATCAAAGACCGCGTTAATGCCACCATTATATTTTGGGCTTTGAACCAAAAAGGATTCAGCATTTGCTTTCTGTTGCAGACTTCCACGCAAGTTGGAGAGAATTATAACCCATTGTCCACCCACAATCATAGAATCCAGCCTTTGACGCCCACAACATTGAAGGTTGCTCCCTCAGCAGTTTAGGACCGTCAGGATATGGTGGTGTCTTCAACAATACCCAGGTGTCTTTCTCTGGCTATATAGGAGTCATGGACGCAACTAAAGTATTGTAGTGGTGCAATGTTCGAAAATTCGTTCCCCCAGCCGCCTAGGCGGCCTGTCGCCTAAACACCTAGGGGAAACCTAGGCTCGATAGTCAAAGCGGCCGCCTCGGCTCAGGTTGCCGAGGGCAGAAAAATGCCCTTGGCAAAATAGTAACCCCCCCCCAACCAAAAAAAGGGGGGAAACGGATTTCAAGGGACATTCTAAACCCCCAAAACCAAATCCATGCCATCCATAGAGAAAAAAAAACTCCCCAAAAACCTTCTATTTTGTGGTTTATCGAAAGATCGATAAAATTTTGGATTTTCTCGATTTCTTCCAAAATCAAAAGCAATACTTCGTGGTAGTTTTCAGAGCTTCTAGCGGTTAATAGTGAGGACTTTTGGCAATCAAATAGATGAGGTTTATACAATTATGATATTTGAATAAGGGTTTTGAGTTTTTTTGCTATAACGTATTATGTTTTGAATCATTTGATTTTTCTTTTTTTAACTTTTTTTTTTTTCCTTTTAAGATATATTTACAAGTTTGTAGTTGAAAGATTGATTTTTTTTTTTGTTATTATTTCATTATTAACTCTTTTGGACAATGAAATTGGTCCTATATCAAATTCTTTTATGAATAATTGGTTTTTATTTTATACAATGTGTGATGTTTTGATATCCTATTAGTTTTGTTTTACTTTTTTGATATTTTTACCCATTTGGACTTATATTTGGTGAATAGTCAAAAACTTTTGATGAAATTAATATTTTGTGACTATTTGATATCCAAAACCAAATCTTATGGATATTAATTAATAAATAATAATTATAATATAACTTTTATTTTAATAAATAGTCCCTACCTGTCCATGTTCCTGGGCGCACGCATAGGCGGGCGGCCAGGCCCCCAAAACGCCTACGTGGGCGCTTACACCTTTTTGAGCACTGCAGTGGTGGAAGGCCTTGAGCGGGTGGACCCATCATGAAAATTCTCCACACTTGTTCTAGAAAGGAACACCAAAAACATAGGCCTCAGCAGCCCAGCCATGCTCATGGAGACACCATTTTTACTACATCACCCACTCGACCAAGGAGGCCATTCACGTGGCTGATGGGTTGGCGAAAGGAGCAGAAGGGGGACCCATGGGGCCGGGTAGCATGAACATGGGCCACACTGAGAACAGCAGATCTATACCCACAATTTACCACAAGTCAGTTGCGAGCTCTCTCTCTCTCTCT